GTTTGACCTATAGAGAACATTAAGCAGTTTAAGTAAGAACAGAGGTGGTAAAATACTGATACCACCGAGCACAATAAAATCGGCTCAATGGCACGGAAACTGAATGATAACGTTTTCGAAGCACGGCGAGTAACTGGCGTCAGGAACTTTGGAGACCGGATTTCCTTTGTTTTCCGGTAGAAAAATAATGTAGAAAAAAACAAGAGAAAAAATATAATCATTGTTTAGTGAATATAAGAGGGACGAAAAATGTGTTCACAGCACGGAAGAGATAATTTCTAGTTTCATAAAAATTTTGGTGTCCTTGGAGAATCTCTAAAATGTTCAATTATATTATTTAACTAAATATAATCTGTGTGTTTTCAATTGAAAGTAATCACTATCCACCCACTTTTAATAGATTTACACGTTATTCTCAGGGGTAGTATATCTGCTGCGGGAGGTTGCTTAGGGTAGGATACGGAATTTAACATGTAATAATCTGAGTTGAATGTAGATTTAGGTACTGAACTTAGGTGAAATGAGAAAATGTCGACCCTCTCAGATAGGTTAAGTTTGGAAAATATAATTTCTACTTTATGTTTCCGTTCATTAAAATGTATTTGAGAATTGTAAAATGTATTTTCATAGTATAGGAATTAAAGGAAATTGAATTTTGAAAGTACATTATACATATTATCACACGTGGAACTTATGAAATTTAGTTAGTTAAGATAAAATACAAGGTGAATTATAATTACATTGTAAACATGTGTAAGATGTATTTATATATACAAATATTTGACAGTACGAGTATGTCAATATAATATATTAGTAATTTATCAGTTAATGATTATCAATTTAAATCGTATGCAGCAATTTTTATAAAAAACCGTTTTTGTCCAATTAATTTTCTAGCCGTTATATCAATCTTATTTTGTGTTGATTTATAGTTTGCATTTGAAACAATAAATCAATTATTTTTGAGTACCTATTTACAATTATTAAAATAATGTATATTACAATAACAATTGAAACGATAAACAATATTTGTTTTGTTTAGAAAAGTAACATTTAATATTATACCTATTGTATCCATTACTCACACATTATCCATTTATAATTAAATAATTATTTCAAAATAACAGATATATTTTGTTAAGTTTTACGAAAACTATCTCTTTGGCCATATACTATTTGTAATATATATATATTATATACTATTACATGTGAAAACAATGTAATGTGTGAAATATTGTTTTACAATAATTGCATTATTTTAACGCTCGCAGTATACATTACGGACATAGTTTTCAGTTCAAACGTTATTTAATAAAACATTAGATTTATGACAAAGTTTGATATTATTTTAAACGTTATACATTATTGTTTATAAACTGATAAATAAACGGGTGCCACATAGTACGATTGAAATCCTCTTACGAAAATTATGTTTTCGCGTTTATGGTTTCTAACTTATATTTTTGTTGCTATATAGATATGCTGGTAATATAAGTTATCACACGCACACGCGATAAAAGTAGCTACACCGTTTTTACTACTTTTCTGCAACTTTTTTTGTACACATGTAAATTTTTAATCTGACCTTTTGGGGCCTTAAATTAATTTTGTGGAATACTGCTTGTATTTTATTTTTGTTTAAATAATATATTTTTATCATATTCAACTTTAATCATCAGACGAATATGTTGGACTAACGAGGTCGGCAGTTGAAAACTTATCAGTCGGACGATACACGAACAAATTTAATTATACAGTGGACCAGAATGATGCTATCAATATCGTAATAATTATTCCTACTCCGGTGATTGGTGGAGTTCCGTAGTTTTTTTGCCGTTGTTCTTAATGTCTTTGTGTAGTTCGTTTTTTCCATATATTATGTCCTGAACACATTTTTCTGACGAGGATTAAAGTTTACAAATGCTGGTATACCTATAGCCGTTAAAATAAAGTGTGGCTGTAATTATGTACACTGAACCATTGGGCATAACAAAAATGTATAATTAAATTAAAATGTTTGTAATTTTTCAAACAACCGCTTCATTTTGTTGGTTGTATATTTTAATTTACAATTTAATTTTTAGAGGTATTTTACTGCAGGTTTTTGATTACATATAAAACTGCTTAAATACGATATCCGCAAAGATTTATAGATTAATATTTGATTGCACGTGCCTAGTAAGTAATTTGGTTAGACATAGTTAATATGCATTTCAAATATTCTTTTCGTAAAGATTGAGCACGTTTACTTATTGCAGACTGCTCAAATTTAAAAAATATATGCAACTGCTTGATACATTTTATGAAACTTTTTTCTATGGCTTATTTTATTTTATTTTAGAATATATCGGGTAAGCCCTTTTGTTATAGGTATTAGGTAACAATATATTTATATATATATATTATGTTTATTAATATTGCTCATCAGTATGTAATTGGTTGTAATTAGTTTCTAGGAGTATCATCTCTTAATCAGATATTAAGTTACTATGAAGCAATTGAATAACGCGTCCAAGGAAAGTTATGGTATTCGAAGTGACTTTTGTGTATGTTATTTCTTAAATAATTTAGATTTTAACTTCCAACAAAATGCAAAGTTATACGTCTACCTCTCTCTCTATATATATTTATATATATATTATTTTTAAAGTTTCCTAAATCGAGCTGGAAGTCACGATTTACATCCTCTTAAGAAAATTAAACCAATAAATTTTAAAAGTTAAACAACTTTTCTCTAGTACCTATCGTCCGTAAGCGTATTAGTGTGAATTATGAAAATAAAAAATGAATACCCCTCGGCATTAAAGAGGACCGTACTTTAAATGAAAATAATTTCTTTGTAATAAATAACTTGTTATCAAAAGCACCTCTAGCAATTGGATTTTATGAATAATAATCGTATAGCGAGGCACTCTGATTACCTCTCTAGCTGTGAAAATAAAAAAAATTGATGATTTCAAACCTGTTTGTATTACATACGCACATTGATTCGTTGATTACGAATATCGATTTTTTTTTTATTAAAAGCTATACCTAATATTACGTAATATAAATTTCATATTATCAATTATATTTAGTGTAAAATATGATGGTAAATTTACAAGTTCCGATGTACCGGGAAATGTTTTGAAAGGGATCTTTTCACATATAAGAATCAATTGTATAATATAATATATAATATTGAATAAAAAATTGGCCGTCGTACAAATAATGTGTCAGTAGTTTAAACGTCATCGGTCGGCCAACGAAGCAAAATTCGTGTACCGACGGCGAGACGGAGCCGAAAATCGAACGGTTGAATGAATGTAGTCACACATTCAAAGTTTACCAAAACAAACATTTATTATAAAGTTTTATATTTTTTTCTCCCCTTCAGCCGAAAAGTCGGGTCAGCAGAGACTTTTGGCGCCATCGTCCACCACAGTTTCTATGCCGCACACTCGAATTCACTCGGAAGGCCACAGAGCTGTATGCATTTTTCCTCTTGTATATGTATTATTTTTTTCTTCTTTTTGATTACAGCAACGACGTTAGATGTATTTTTTTCCCCCACTATCTCTTCACCACTCTCGGGCACGAGGCTTTTCGGAAGTTTTTGACTCGTTTCACTTAACCTTTTAGTGGAGACCAAAAGTTCTTATATAATATAATAATATATTATATAGATGTTTATGGTATCTCCGCGCTATTTGGCATTTAATTCTCGCCTCCTCCTCAAACTTTTAAGCGTTATATTTTGGCGTCCCATTCTTGGAAATAGATACAGCTTGACAACCGCTGCCAGTCGGAACTGCTACTACAGCGATCCTTGTTATATGAAAGTGTTGTAAAAGCTGTTGAGGATGGTTGGTAATTCACCTAGTGAAATAAAACTTAACGTGATATAATATTATATTATTATCATGTGGATGATTTTATGTCATCGAACTTTGTAAAATGTTGTGTTTTATTTTCCCATTCCTCCTCTCCCTATTGTTAATAAACTTGGTGGCGGCTTGGCTGTGATTTATTAGTTGGGGCACTTTTGTAACCTTATTTGTCTACCGCTTATTTAGGATCTCATCCATTAACCAATTACTGTGAACGGCTCTCTAGTGAGCGATGTATTATCTTTACAATATCGAGTTTACTGTCAAGTTAGGCATAAATCGGTTTATGGGCATGTACAAATAATATACATTTTTTGCATTAATATATTATATTATACACTTGATACACAAGTACACAACACATCTAAAACGTGCTAACATTGCGTATTTGTTGAAATAAATAAGCTCGAAATCAAAAGGAAAAAGGCATGGATATTACATTTAAGAATTCCTCAGTATAGAAAATCAATTGTTTATATTTTATAATATTGAAAATAAATTGATGTATGTACTTAGTATAATGTGTGTAACGTTGGGTTTTAAACGCAAATTGTGACTATTTATCTGCTGAATGTACACTGTGGTTTGTAGATAAATATTAAATAAAAATAAATATATTCCGTAGTCGATTTGTATATTTCCGTTTTATCATGAATAACACACCTATGCAAGTAGCTACTACTTAAGTAAAAAGCGCTATCAGGCAGTCACAGAAACACACAAGCAAACTTTAAAAATAATTCAATCGACCTGATGATAATGTATTGTGAAATGGAACACCTGTACGAAGTATTTTGGCATAATATATTACATTATGCAAGAATATTAAAGCACTAATAACCATATAAAAATACAGGTTTGAGATATACGGCCGTAAAAAAGACCCAGTTCTTTATTATATTACTCGGTCTGCGCCATGCCAATGCGAATTATCGTATTATATTATTTAACAGCTATAGTTGCTTGCTTGGAATCGCCCTGAAATGCAAAGAATATACAGTTGTGAACCTATCGAATTTTGTAAATGCGAATACTTCTGATATAATAATACACGAGTTTTGTTTAAGATTGTATCAAGACATTTATAATATTGTTCCTCCGTGTTTAATTATATCCGTGTTTGTGTTTCAGATTGAAGACGCGATGTTAATGTTCGACAAACAAACAAATCGACACAGAGGTAAGTTTGGTTTATTTCACATCTCTTATTATTATATTGTATGTAGGCTGAAAGGGGCAAGAGAAATTGCTATCCGTTAAGCGTTCATATATATATTTTGTTTTTTTGAGAGAGGAATCCAAGAAATGATTTTTTTTTTTATCACCGCAAAGGTTTTGGAAAAAAAAATAAAATAAATGGGAAGGAAAAACGTCTACCGACAAATTTGTTGTGCGTTTGATTTATCGTCAGATTTACACAACCACGTCCGATTATTGGCCAACAAGAGCAAAAATACGGTGAGAGAGAAAAAATATAATATCTGCCACTGTGGGATAAGAGGAGGTGTTTGAATCATCGCGTGTGATAGTGCCGGCGTGGGGTGTGGAAAGAAAAAACGAATATACACCTACAGACACACACACACATACACACACAGGTATACCCATAGCCACACACACACACATACACTTACATATGTACACACATACCACGTACTCTCGCGCGTGCGACATTTTCTGTTTTGAAGGCTGGGGTTGAATAATGAGCATACTAGGGGAGCCGCGGTAAGGATGCCTATTAAGGGATGTTATACGAAGCGTCTCTTAGGGCGGCGCCAACACCTATAAGAATTATGACGGGGCTCTCATCTTCAAGCGCGATGCTCGTCGCTTTATATAAAAGACCTAGTAGAAGAAAAAATATAGAAGTAGAAGAAAATCCCTGTGTATGACGTTAAATTTTTCACCCTTACGGGATGGGCGTCTACTGCTTGACGGAGGCTAAGTTGGAAATGCACGTCAAATAGCGTCTATGTTTATAAAAATCGCTCCGGCTATTCTTTACGAACCGATGACACGTGCAAATTTACAGGTGAACTTGAAAGTAAAAAATAAACACAATCAACTATAAGCACCACTATGAGTCTATGAAGTATGAACCATTTGAAATTCTACTTAATGGACTCGTTCTATTATCTAATAATTATGCGTAGCTACAAGCATCGTTGAAACATTTACAAATGCAATATTATTCTGAAATTTATAAGGTTTGAAATTAAAACTGTTGAGTGTTGAGCAACCGGAAATGCATTTAATATGGAATAATCTAAAACGTATGTGTGCTTTTAAGTTTTCTATATTTCCCGTTTTGAAAGCTAAGAAATATGATATCGAGTGTTTCAATAAACTAACTTAGTCAACTCTCGATATGTAAAAAATGTCAATTTAAACTTTGATGTTGTTTTCTTAAAAGTATTCGTTCATTTTCCTTTACCATTTGATTTAAAGTTTTGACTTATTGAAAATCACCCTTCTCTTATAAACTTTAAGCTCAGCCAACAATAAGTTGTTTAAAACGAATTCAATTTATTCAATATCAGCTAAAATCTTTTGATTTGATCTGATTTTTGAAACACAATTTTCCGTTTTGAGAATTATGAGAACTTTTTTACTGCCTTTTATTTGTTTGTGTATCAATTTTTAAGTTTCTTAAACGTTATTTTTCTAAGAAAGAATGGAATATTATAAGTATTTATTCTCCTTTTTTGTGATTCTCTATAAATTATGTTGATTATACATTTTGGCATGGGCTCTTGGGATGAAAACGTAGTGGCCCGGGTGTGTCGGCGATAAATTACTGATTGAAAGAAAAGGAACTCGATCGGAGTTAATGGCCTTTTTAAGGAAAAAGCAATATTCTCGGGGCCGTATAATTCTTAGGGTGCGTTGGTTATTATCTTCTTTCAGCGCCTCAGTCAATCCTGAGCCAATTTAATTCTCAACACTTGTGTATCTATATTTTTTCCAGTCAATATTTTTTTATGTTTATATTTATATATAATACGAAAAAATAAAGGTGAATTTTAAACGCAAAAAAATATTTATGTGTACGATATATTATTAATATATGAATTTAAATGGTTTGGATTTTTTTTATGCTATGTATACCCGAGTTGGGGAAAAGCACGCTGATAAGTGTATAAGTGATTGTACCTATGCTGCGTGTGTGAATGGATTTCGTTGGCAGTTGCAATGCGCTTCGCATTTAATTGGAATGAGTACTTTTCCATTTCCAGTATTCGTTTTCGTCTGCGGATCGTAAATACGAAAATGGAGATTTGTGTAAGTGAAAAAGCGGGAAGGATTTTTTTTTAAAAAGAAGAGAAATGGTGAGTGAGTGAGTGTGATAGAGTTGGGTGGAAGGGGAAATACTTAAGAAACTCACCGAGATTTGGCTAGATTTAAGGTTTAATTTCGGCCCTGTTTTCGGGATTAAACCATCTCGGTGCTTCACTCCGGAAAATTAGCTCGTCCCCTCCTTAATCTCGTACCATCGTATTAGTTCGAATACACATTTACCCCGATAGGATGCTTTTAATTATTCTGGCACGAAACGACGTTTTTATGTCTAATAACACGGCTGTGACATGTTTTCTTTATGGTTTTCATTTGTTTATCGTAAATCATTATGGTCATTATTATTATTATTATTATTATTATTATTAATATTAAAACACCAAGTTTTAAATGGGTATCTATTATAAAAATATCTGTATACGACGTTTATATTACTATTACGATCTGGTTGCCTCTTTTTTTGGATGATGATAATAATAATAATTTTATCATAACTGACAGAAATGCGTCTGTAAAGCGAAATTAAATTAATATAAAAAATTGCTACGTGGGATGACCAAAAAAGTTTAGAGCGAAATAATATAATAGTCACACGAAAATAACAACAAACATAATGCACGCGACGAATATAATAAGTAATAATAATAATAATAATATAATATAAATGCATTTTTATTTTTTAATATAAAAGACACCATATACGTATATATACAATATAATATATAGCGTGGATACAGGGACAATCCGCGCGATGGCAAAACGTCGGCGAGGGCGATACGGCCCGGGCCGGTCATTAGTCTTCCGCTGTCAACGGGGCCGGGGTCTACGCTTCGCTTCCACCGCTGCCGCCTTTACCACCGTTCTCCTTCGCTTTTTCCGAACCATAAACTGTACTGTGGTAGAGCGAGAAACATCCATGGTGGGTGAGCGAGAGAAGGTGTGCACACCCCTAAAGCATCGGTCGCTTTTGGTAAAAACCATAGGAATCGATACGGTGTGTGTGTGCGTATACACAGAGTGCGTATACCCCACAGCGGTGCTGGAGGGTTGTGCTGAATTTCTTTTTACGGGAAACACCTACACGTTTCCCACCGCCAACACCGGAAAAGAGCATCGGTAGAACAGCGGGTAAACGGTGGAAAATGGATTGTTACCTCTGTTTTGTTTCCCGAATTTCGGACGTTTAAGGACATACAATTTAAAATTTTCTAGATAGTCCACTTATCATAATTTGTTTTTAGTATTAGATTTTTTTTTAAATTCTTCGTATTTTCATATGGCATTGGCTGGTTCATGGTAAAAGAATTAGACAAGTATTCTGCAGCATAATATAATAAAACAAAATACGATGTGACTACCTCTTTTACTTACGTTTTTGAACATCCAAACGCGATGTAAGTGATGTAACACACAAATACTCAGTATTTTATTAAGTACCTTTCGATACTAATATTTATCTAACATAATAATATGTAATACGTTTAGTGGATATGTCATATTATAGTCATCAGACGGTATTAGAAAATTCCAGAAATCCGTATTATGCAATATGTGCAACCATGTGTGTGGTGTTATTTCGATGTTCGATTGCTTCTTTTTTTGTTTTGTGACTCTAACGAAATAGTTAAAATAGTTTTATATATAGTCATATTTTGGCTACCTTCTATATACAGACAGCTGAAATTTTATCCCATGATATTTTAGTCAAATTGATAGTCTTTATTATTTATTTTGGGCGGTTATTGCACTGATTTATTTCCATGCGATACACAAGAGTTTCATACTATCTAATTTCAAGAGGTTCGTAAAATTCGTAAAATGATTACAAGCATGTCCAAGTTATAATTTCTTATATCCGAGAGATAGTTTTTCCCGTATATCGTGTTTGTACTACGATATTTTACATTAATTCTAACCTAACGTTGATGTACTAACATTAGTTTACTAAACGTTTGACATTATAATATATAATTTAATAACTGATTAGTTTTATAATTGTTGTCTTGTGTAGACTGAACTTTTACTAAATATGCTGGAATGTAAATATAATAATGGGAGTCTGTATTAAAATTCAATCGTTGTTAGTTTATACAATTTAGCATTTAAAATAAAGTGTCTGTTTGTTTAATAGTTTTTGGTTTGTTCTTAATATCCTATTTTACAACATATGGTTTTAATGTTTTTATTCATTATTTAGTGATATGAATATAAATATGAATATAATATAAATTTAAAGTGATTTGTATTAGATAACAACAAAACAAGTATTGTCTGCGAAAATATAATTTCAGATCATTGGGTACCTATATATTTTATCATCATTATATATTTATTGATACAATCGATATAATTTATTTATACTAATTAAATTTGTAAATTAGCATCGTCGAACGAATAATGATTACGATTACTTACAGTTGACTTGTGGCAGTGACTACATCAATTTGCTGCACATACTATTGTACTTACGCGTGTATTTGTGCCGTGTACGTGTGAGGGGGGTGGATTTATCGTAGATTAAAATGGAGTGGCCCTTTCAACATAAATTTGTTCAACAAGACCCCGAGCTCGTTCAGTCCGTATTTTATATTGCACGGCAAGCGCACCGTAAAACCCTTCCCAACCCCGCAGATCAATTATCTATCAGAGATTTATGTTTTTTTCTTCTCCTTATTTCCTCTATTCTTGTCCTTTTTATATCCGAGTGAAATATCCGTAATTCATCCTGTTAAAGGTACTACGAGCGGGTTTTTAAAGTGACGGTGGGTGCGGAGGGGATCGGGGGTATTGGTACTGTAAGGTGGTACCGGTGGTTGCGAGCAGTAGGGGGGAAGGGCGAGGCTCGGATTGGCCGGTGCGGGGACGAAAAAATAAGATAAATGC